TTATTTTATGTGTATGAGCGTATTGCCTGCATGTATATGAGTGCACCCGTGTCCTGCAATGACGCAGAGGTCAGAAGACAGCTTCGGATTCCCCTGGAACTGGAGTTAGGAATGTTCATAGCCGCCATGTGAGTGCTGGGAATCAAATCCAGGTCCTCTGCAAGAATAGTCAGTGCTCCTAACCACTGAGCCATCTCTCCAGCCCCCGAGTTACTTCTTGAAAGAGGGTTTTTGTTAAAGAACAAGGCCTCTCCCTTTGCACAGGTTTTGCATCTCATCATATAGTCTCTCCCCTTCACACAGGCAACTGCAGTCATGCTTTCCACCAAGAGATGCTGTTTGCCAGAGCTGAGCATCATGCCCTTGAGCCTCCAGACTGTTAACCAAATGATCTTCTTTTCTATATAGAATACACAACCTCGAAATTTTTGTTGTAATAATGGACATGAGTAGATACAAAGGTATAATTTGAAAACTTTAATACAATTAACTTTTTCATTAATTTCTTTTTGCTGACCCTCCCCGACTCTCCCTCATCCCCTTCCCCGCCCCCTTGTATCCTTCCACCCCTAGGAACCTCTTTAATACTTCTTTGTCACATGTGTCCTATTGCCCTCCTCTCTCTTCCTCAACACCTCTTTTTCCAGTCATATGGTCCCCTTTGCAGTCTCATATCATATACCCCCTTATACATGTGCGTGCATGCACACACACACACACACACACACACACACACACACTCATTAAAAGGATGAGATAAAACAGGTGATATTTGTCATCCTGGGTCTGGGTTATTTTCACTTACTATTTTCCAGATCTGTCCATTTTCCTGCAAATTTCATTTTTCTATATGACTGAGTCAAATTCCACATAGTGATCTCTTATGTACAGTATTCACTATCACATTTATAAAAGAACACTATCATTAGAGGACCCTAATGTGTAGCTCTCCAATTTCATTCCCTTATAAATAACAGCTTGTTACAGAATTTACAACTGTCTACCCTCAACCAGGATGAAGCTTGTAAGGGAGGAGCAGATTGGGGAGAGGGGAGTCCCTGTGGCCAGGGACTCAGAAGCCAGAGTGTGGCTCATTCTCACAGTCTGGAGAGGAAACAGATGTGTATCTATGACTTCAGGAAGGATATGAGAAGACCAATAAAGAAGACTGAGTTCTAGAGAAAACGTATACACAAAAGACATTATTCAAGACAGCAAGTCAAGCAGAATACTGGGGTTTCTAAACAAAAGAAAGGGGCAAAGTTAACAACCAGAAAAAAAAAAAAGGCAAGAAAAAGAAGGTGGTCTGAATAGCTGCTCTGTCCAGGAATGACTGTACCCAGGGTAGAAAGCTGAACTCAAGGCTAGAATGAAACCAGAGAGTTTGAAGGGAGTCCCCTAGAAAGTAAAATTCTTCCAGAAACCAAAGCTAGCAGCTACATGTTCAGACAATGTTTTCTTCAGAAAGGTCTGGAGGGTCCCCATCTTTTCTCTCCTCTTCCTGCTCGCTCACTCTCATCTCTGTGTCAAGTCGTTTACCAGGTAATACCACTTCCTGTCTGTAGCTCCTCCCCCACCTATCCCTCTTTCTACTATTCTAATTCTATCCTGCTCACTCAGTGGCAGAGCAACTGTGGCAGCCTCCTGGTGTGGTGGTGTTTCTTCTCTCCACTCTCTGATGCACTCCTGACACAGAAGTCGAGGTGACTATGGGTCACAGTTAACTAACTATGGTTCAATAAGGACTAAGCCATAAATCATAGGGAAGGGGTATGGGGTGCCAGTCATATTTGAACCAGTTGAAAAGCATGATACACCACAGGCCAGGGCCGTCAAGGATCATAGGTTTGTTTCTGACTAGTGCCAGTTGGGTGGAACTAGGAACAGAACCACCAGACTCAGGGAGATGCCCAGGGCCATGACAGGCAGCAATTCCAGTCTTAAGTGTTTTGCAAAGCACGTTCCTCCCAACCACTTTTTTTTTTTTTCCCCAGGAGAGAGCCTCCATGGTGGTCTAGGCTGTAGCTCCTCTCTTAGGCAGTCCCTCTTTCTGCCCTGCTCCTTTGGCCTGCTGCTCCCTGCAATGCAGATAGGACTATCAGTGCAGCCGGACTGGCCTAAAATTAATCATTACTAGCCCTGAGATAGAAGGCAAACTAGTGAACTTCTTTGCTTGAGCTTCCTGGGGGAAGATGACACCTGACTCCATGCGTCCTTATGAGAAAGACAAGAGAGCACATGCTGATGTACAGTGACACTCCATAAATGGTTCTTCATCCAGCTGACACTTCCAAAGACCCTGCTGTGAGTCAAACTCCATACCAGCTTCCCTGGATGACACAGCGTGTAGAATTGGCTGCATTTGCAGCCTCAAGTCCTTATCCAACCAGACATGGATAAACATGAAAATAGGGACTGGAGAGTTGGCTCAGCAGTTAAGAGCGCTGGCTGCTCTTGCAGAGCACCCAGGTTTGATTCCCAGCACCCACATGACAACTAACAACCATCTATAACTCTAGTTCCAGGGGACTCAAACTCCCTCTTCTGACCTCCACAGGCATTGCACAACAAGGGTGCACTTACATATATACAGGCAAAACACTCATACACATATAGTTTTTTTTTTAAAAATTATAGCATTTAAAAAAAAACACGAAAATAAATGTAAATGATAGTCATGGAAAGAACAATATGAAAAGGGGTGATGACTCTAAGACTAGGAGAAACCACAAGGCCAGCCTCAAGGGCCTACTCAGAAACCACATTCCTGAGACGCTTGTTCTGATTCCTCACCCCAGGAAGTGATTCTGTTGGCCTGTGAATTCTTGCAAGGTACCAGCACAATCACCTGTTCTATCGGATCCAGTACTTTAGCTGTGTTCACGTCCTATTCACTTTATCACTCCTAAACAGTTTATCTGCAAAGAACCAGCCACTATACCTTTGCACATGTTTCATTGTTTATTAAAATGTGTCATTTTAATATAAGTTAGTAAAATTAGCTTCCTGAAAGCTGCCACAATCTAACAGAGTTGGAAGCTTAATTTATGCCTGTTGCAAGCCAAGTTCCCATTGATTTCCAAGTCATTTGTCAGAACATAATAGGTAATGCGAAGGGAAACAATAATTTGGCTCTTTAGAAACTGTGTAACATTCATACTTTATAATGTGGCATGCCTTAACTCCTGCTGAACCCCCACCCCACCTGAGCTGACTCTTCTATTAATTGGGGCTATGCAGATAGGGAAAAGTAAGACTAGAGAATCTCACTTGCCAAATCTTCAGTTCCTAAATTTCAGAATTAAAGTTTCAGTTTGTGATCTAAAAATAAAAAATAACAAGTTCTGGAACATACTTCCCTGTTAGGTTGCTTATATAAGAGAGGCAAAGAAGAATGCTGGCTAGATGATTCAGTGGGTAAGGAAGGGCACTTGCCACCAAGCCTGATGGCCTGAGTTCAATACTGGGAGCCCACAAGGTAGAAGGAGAGAATTGATTCCCCAAAGTTGTCCTCTGACCTTTACATGAGTGCTGTGACATGTGCATACCCTCTCTCACCCTCTCTCTCCCTCTCTCAACACTAAATCAATAAATGTAATTTTAAAAAGAGAGGGGAAACTATCTTTTCCTTCTACCTTTCTAAGTCCATGGCTGAGACATATATAACAAAAATTAAAAACAGAAAATATACAAATTTATTTAAATAAATTTTATTTGGCCCAACAGCCCTTATAAGAAATTGAAGACCCAAAGAAAAAACTAAACATGTGTGTGTGCATGCGTGTATGGTGTATGCATGTGTATGAATGTGTGTGTGCAAGTATACAAGCCAGTGCGTGTGCATGTGGAGACCAGAGGTCAATGTCAAGTATCTCCCTCTATCTCACTTACTCTAAATTATTTTTATCATTTTTTAAAATTTATTTTGTGAGTGTGTACATGAGTGTGCACCTGTGACATTGTGATCGTTTGGAGGCCAGAGGACAATTTACTGGAGTCCGTTCTCTCCTTCCATCATGTGGGTTCCAGCAGTCAAATTCAGGTCTTCACGCTTGGTGGCAAGTGCACTTACCTGCTGAGCCATCTCCCAAACCCTCCACCACAATTTTTGAGACAGGGTCTCTCACTAAACCTAGAGCTCATCATTTTGGCTAGACTGGTTATCCCCAGGGTTTGTGTGTCTCCACTGCGCCCAAGTGCTGGGATTATAGACCAACTCCTAGCTTTTACATAGATGTTAGGGATCAGAACTCCGGTCCTCATGTTTACACAAGAATTTTACCCACTGAGTCATCTCCCCAGCCCCAAACGTGAGTGTTTTTTAGAGTGTGTTTGACAAAGAATGGAGAATAATGGAGAGATATGATAGAGCAAAATATCATAAATTCTGATGATAACCAATGGGGGCAGGACTTAGCAAGTTCTTTTTATTCTGATTCTTCTGTGTCCCTGCATCTTTGGAGACAAGGATGCTGCTTGCCTCTGCTTGGGAGTGGAGAAGCACCTTTTCCTTGGGGCCATAGGCTCTGTTTCAGTGGAAGGTCAGGAAAGATTTATTACCTGCTCAGAGGAGAAAGGTCAAGGGAGATCAGAGTGACTATCTCACTTCTACTGTTTTCTCACATTTATTCAGTGTAGAATATCAATATGCCAAGGTGCCATGTTTGGGGGGGCAATATTCCAGAACCCCAACACTTAATGCTGATCCTGCAGTTAAACTCTGAAGATCTACTCAGATACGCAATTTTAGCCATATAATCGTATTAGAAGACTAAGTTTCCTCTTGACCCAGAGAAAATATCTTTGTATTTTTCAATATTAAGAGCTGTCCTCCAGTCAATGTGTTATTTATATTGTAATTAATAATTGCATTTATTGTTGATATCCATGATGGCTATAACAAATAGGAAAGCAAAGGAAACAGGGGAACATTTTGCTATCATATTTAAATACTCAAATATCCACTTAAATTCATTTTATTTTGGTATCCTTGAATTTTTTAAAGTCTCATGCCTCAAAGAGGCAAGATTTATAAATGCAAATAAATGTATAAACAAACATGCAGCCCTCTTAAGTAACTTTCCAGATAGAAACAGTCCATCAGTGTAGAAAAAATTACCCAATCAGCACCTATAGTGTGGCCCAATGGGAGAGAGGAATTTCATCTTTGGCCATTTGGGGTTCCTCGAGAGGAAGACGTTTAGTCTACTCTGAGATGGATAATGATGTTGATAAAGGCAATATGCAACCTCTTGCTCTTTCCATGGATTTCATCATCTTGTTTCCATGACTCATAACAGCTCCTTGAAGCACTCTTGTTCCCTTGAGTTTGAAGGTCACATGAAGGCTCTGGAGTTGGTTGTCATCAAGCCAGAAGCATTCCTACTGCTCTCCTATGGAGCATCCTCAGTTGGCCTGAAATGTTTACCTGCCTAATCATTCTCAAAAGGAAGTGCTCAGTATTCTTCAAAGCAGTCAGTCCAGGTTCCCTGGAGATAGTCTGAATATTGTTTTAAAAATACAAACAAATATTATTCACACAAATAGCTTCTTAAATGTTGCCTAATTAGAATTGGTGAAAAACTATTTTAAATCATTTATTTCAAAAACTGTATCTTATAAGAATACTAAGAACCTTTCTTGTGTTATACTCCAGTGTTATATAACAGTGTCCTCACTGTCTCTCTATGAGGACAGTGTGGGAATGGTGATAAATTTGCTAGCATAGTAAATCTAGGGACTCCCTTGCTTCTGCTGTTACAGTACCTTTGACATCAGTTCAATAGAAACATAAGAGTCTATGCAGGTCTCTTTCAGTTATGACATCCCATGGTTCTAGTACAGACTGAAATTAGGATTATTCTTTCACTCCACAGGTTTACTGAACATCTTGTCCTCTAAGAACAGAATGACATCTCTCTAATAAAAGCTCTTCTGGTTCCCATGTTACTTTATATTCTCCTTTGGAATTACAGGTTCCCAACGCTAGTTTCTCCACTCACTGCCTTGTTATTTTTGCCAATGAGTAGAGTTCTTGCTACATTTTATGTGTTTGAGATGGATGACCAAAGTGGTGCTTTTTATCTGTCCCAGAATGAGAACCAGTATGAGAGGTATCAGGCATAGGGCTCAGAATATTTACTTGATACACACGTGACTGCATTAATCCTGTCTAAGAGTTTCTCACCAACAGCAGACCCTGACAATATTTAGTCCTGCCTCTTTCCTGAATATAATGGGATCTGCGGGATTGGACCCTTCTGTTGTCTCTCCAGATCTGCTCTCCAGTTCCTTCTACCTGCTTGGTGTCCTGCACAGTGGTCTACACAAACCACCACAGCTGGGCTCAGTGTGTCTGGCCCTGGTTGGCCTTGGCCAATGGAAAATACTATCACGTGTGGGAAAAGGAGGACGGCAGAGCCGGGGCATGTCTTTTTCTCTCTTCAGGGCTATCACAGGCCCTTTCCTCCTTCTCTCCTCTGGAGCATCCTCAGAGGGCCCCAAAACATTTACCAACCTACACATTCCCAAAATGAGGTTCTAAGTGTTCTCCAAAGCATTCAATCCCAAGTTGCCCAAGAATAGTCTGAATATTTTAGAAACTACAAACAAATATTATTTACATAGCTTCTTAAGTATGACCAGAGGTCAAATCTCATCAGATAGTTCTTTCCACACAAACATTGCAAGGGCAGGTATGTGTGTGTGCGTGCATGCGTGCGTGCGTGCGTGTGTGTGTGTGTGTGTGTGTGTGTATGTGTGTGTTACTTGTCCCTTCAGTCTTAAGGAAGCAAAGTGTCCCATGTCTGCTAGATCCAGGGTGCTGGACTCTCCCTTCTAGCATTTCTACACCCTTGCTTAAAAGGCCCTTTTTTATTTTATTTTATTTTTATTTTTAAATAGGCCCTTTTAAATCACTCCTTTATTTAGTCAATTTGAATAAAACACAAGCTTTCTGCTACAATCTGGACTGATAACCACTGGAGTATTATGAAGAGTCTTAGCCATTCACCATGAAGCACAATAAGAGGGCACACAGAGATGCTACCTTCCCTCCTCCTTCCTGTTAGAATTTGTACATGGCCATAGAGTGCCTCTGACATGGTGGCTACTTAATACGTATTTGCTGAATTAATGAAAAGCATGTCTCAGATACTTCTGACCGTAGTTTTAGATTCAAATACATTAAATCAAGATATATCCATATAGATCAGCAAATGTCAAATTTTAAGTTTTTCTTTCAATATTTTGGGTGGAGGAGGGGTTCTGCTTTACAAATCCCATTGGCTCTTTTCTCATGTTCTGACTGAATTATGACTTGACTCCATGACAACTGATGCCAAGGGATGAGCTGACATTTCAGGGGCAGTTGAACAGACTAAGAGATTGTCTATAGACTGAGAGATTAGTTTCTGATCCTTCCAATATTGGAGAAAATTGTGACTTTAACCCATGTCATCTAACGTATGTGGGCTGGCTTTGCAAGTTCATCACTTTCTACATCTCCTACACTCAGACAGAAGTGCATTCAGGGGTCAGCTATAGTTCCTTCAACCTATTCATGTTTATAATGAGCAAGCCAGATAATCAATGAAGCTGATCATCACTCACTGTGCATATTGCTCTTGCTGAAGCACTGCAGAAGTCACTTCTACTTCAGGTATTGTGGGGAGCATTTCCTTGGCCCTAACCAAGGGCAGCCCTTGAGTGGACTCTACAATGTAAGAAGGAGATCTGTGTCAGGCAACAGCAGGTAAAAAGAACTTCTGATGTGGATGTGTTATGAGAACCCTGCCCTATATCTAAAAAGGATTTGGGCAGTTTCCATCACTTACTCAGTTCTCTACCAACAGCTCTGATACCTTTAACTCACTTCACTCAGCTGTGTGTCCCTTTATTCCTTCCTTTACCTCCTTACCCTCTTACCTGGACATAAGACCTGAAGCTTAAAGACACGTAATGTAGGAAAAAGAATCTAAAGGACAATGTCAAGTAGCAAGAAAAGAATCTGAGTTTGGAAACTAAATGCAGACTTTTTTTCTTATCACATTTTATTGAAATATGTTCCTAAGGAGACTTTCCTAATGATGTCAATGTCTGGGTCAATTTTACCAAGAAAAGGAGTTACAAATTAGATGAATCTGTCTTCCTGTTCTGTGACTATGTGATTTTATGAAATGCTTTATTCTTCTGATCAGCTAAATTCAAGGTAGGAAATGAAACAATGTGGCATTTCTTTCATTTTCCTAAGAACTGAACTCCTGTTTTTCTGGGTTTTATACTGTCTTGAGTTCTATATAATGCATGCTGCTTTTATTTCATTGATACCTTCACTTCTGATGCAAAGCCCTAAACATGGGTGTAACTGAGGTGTCAACAATGTAAAGAGAAATTGCAGGGGCTGGAGAGATGGCTCAGCAATTAAGAGCACTTGCTGTTCTTGTAGAAGACTGGAGTTTGGTTCTCAGCACTACATGGAGGCTCACAACTACCTGTAACTCCACTTGAGAGGACCCTGTGCCTTCTTCTAGCCTCCATGGGTACCCACCCACATATGTGTATACACACAGACACACCCACATACGCATAAATAAAAATGAAATAAATCTATTTTTTAAAATGAGAAAAGTTGGGTGTGACATGAAAGCAGATGAAGGATTGTTTGGGGGAAGGAAGGGCCAGTAGGAGTGGGGGAGGAAAGAATGGAGGGAAATACGAGCAAGGTTCAGTGGTGTACAGGTATGAAAAAGTCACAATGAAATCCATTGTTTAGTGAAACTGAAAAAATTAAACTAAGAGATTCTTAACAAGGAAGTCTGGCTCTTTCCCAGCTTCCTAGACAATCACTTCTCACCATACTCCATAGTTCCTTCTTTCTCCCCTCTGTCCCAGACAAGCAAGGTTACTGATTTTTGTGTACCAGTGTGTGTATGAGAGAGGATATGCATACATACATGTTTTAAATATATGTATATTCTATTTTGTCTTTTTTAGCACCACTTGTGAAATGTTCTATACAAACAAATAATAATAGATCTTAGAGATAGTTCCACATACACTTTCCCTGCTATTTTTACAAATCCCCACAATTACACAGCATTGTTCCTGTGTCCAACTTTGTACTTTTCCCGTAAGTAATCCATTTTAGTTAAAGATTTTTATTTTTATTTTAAATATCTTATTACTTTTGTTTTATGTGTATGAGTGCAAGGCCTGCATATAGGTGGATGCACTCATGTTGTACAATGCCCATGGAGGTCAGAACAGGGTGTTGGATCCCCTGGAACTGGAGTTACAGATGACTGTTAGCCACCATATGGGTGCTGGAAATCAAACCCGAGTCCTCTGCAGAAGCAGCCAGTGCTCTTAACCAGTGAGTCATCTCTCCAGCCAGGTAAAGATTTTTTAAATTAAGCTAGTAATGACTTATTTGAGGCAGGAGAACCTTTCTAAGTCTGTTTTCATTATGCTGAGAACCCTTGTATATATAAGAGAATACTAAAATGGTCATTGAGGTTAGAATTTCTTCCCATAGGACATTTAGTTTTCTAAAAGACAAAATGACAAAACTTTCTTGACAAAGATGGTGTAACGAGCTTGTCTTTTCACAGAACCCTTGCACTTGAGCCCTTAAGAATCCTCAACTTTTAAAGTGTCATTGTTAGTGAATACTAACCACATCTGTGGTACTACCTCTATCAACCCAGTCTCACACTGAGAGCCTAGGAACCATGATCAGGTTATATTACTAGGCAAAGATAAAGGGGTTTCACAGATGTAGTGAGCATCCCAAATTGGTTAATTTTGAGCTAATGAAAAGGGAGATTATCTTGAGTAGGTCTGGTTTAGTAAATAAAACCCTCCAAAGACAGACTGGGTCCTTCTCGAGATCAGAGAGACTCTTACTGTCTTAAGGACACCATAAGCCATGTTATGAACTTCCTTATTGCTGGGACTGGTGGGTGGTGGTGTCTGGTAGGCAGCCAGTGAGAAGCCAACACCTCCAGTACATTGTAACAAGAAAGTAAATTCTGCTGGGCGTATGCTTGAAAGCAGTCTCTAGATGAGAACACATCATGGCCAGCACTTCTCGATCTCAGCTTTGGGAGCCCCTGAGCAAGCCATGATCAGCTAACCAGTGCTTAGACTTCCAACCCGTAGGAACAGAGATAATACCTATGTGCTGTTTTCAGCCACTTAGCTTACGGTAATTAGTTACACAGTAGAAACTAATACAGTGAGGACAGATTCTTGGCCTGAACATTACCAGAGGTAATGATTTAAAATGCGGGTTCTCAGGCTCAGTAAATCTCAGGCTAGATTTATTGAATTTGAATCTCCCTTCCCAGAAGCCTGGGAGCCTGCATTTTATAGATTTCCAAATTGACTTGGAGCATGAAAGCTCTCCAAGTTAATTTGCTGTGCAAATAATTGCTCAATTTTTGACAAAGCGTCTTGGGCCTCCTGCAATTTGAGATTTGGAGACTATTCTTTTAAAGGTTATAATATCGAACAAGCATATTCATAAAATGAAATAATTACCAAAGAGAATTAACAGAGTTCTTAGGATTGGAAAGCCAAGGTGCACATCATCTGCCTTTCCATTTAGTTTGCTGACATTTTATAGCACAATCTAACCACAATGTACTATGGAAAGCTATTACCTTTCCAAATGATAGCTAGCCTGGATGGAGCATTCTCTAGCATTACCTTTGGTTTCCCCTAATATCCAAAGTCATGTAACTCACATGCTAAGAGCAAAACTTCTGAAAATTTATTTTTTTTAAAAAAAAACATAAAAAATTGGATATGTGTCACTGTAATGCCTTCTTCAAAATAGCTAAGATAAGTGGATTTTCTTCCTTGTGCTACACTGGAAAATAGTTTCTTTCAAATACTACTAACTCACTAATGGTAGTTAAGGCAACGCAAGCTGTCAGAAACATTTGAAAACTTCACAGATGTCTTCTCATGAATTTGTCAATTCTCTTACCTAAACAGGAACCTCAGAAAAGCTTAAAACATGAAGAAAAAACAAAACCCTCAGTGTGGATCCCAACCTGGTTGAATCTTGAAAACAGAAAGGATTTCCAGTAGTAGAAGCTTTGATTAAATATAAAACTCTGGGATTTAGGTTCCTTAATACAGACAGCCTTTATCATTGCCTAGGACGATGTCCAGGCTGCCCTGAGATGTTTCTTTTTTTCAGAAGGATTTTCTATCACTTTTCAAAGGTTCTTTATATCTGTGACATCTGGAATCTAACCTCAATTCATCCTTGCAAAGTAATTTTGGATTCCCACTGTGTAACTTGCAAGGTGTTTTTGTTGCTTTGTTCCTTATGGGTTTCATGTCAAAGACCAGGTCAGTCTCCCACCAGGAGAACTTATCAAAGCTTCCCTCTCTTGTCTGGGAAAGCTATTTGCCCCATCAAAATGTTTGTGCTTTTATCTCCAAAACAACTTGTATAAAAACAATTTACTTTTTTGTGGCAGTACACATATGTGTGTGCATGTGTACATGTGCATGTTGAAGCCAGAGGGAAACCTCATGTATTATTCATCCTCAGGCCCTGCTGACCTTGATTTTTGTTTGCTTGTTTGCTGAGACAGGACCTCTCACCGGCCTGGGACTTGCCAAGTAAGCTAGGTTAGTCAACCAGTGAGCGCCAGGGATTGGCCTGTCTCCACCTTCCCAGTGTTGAGATTATAAGTGCATGGCATCACACTCTGCTTTTCTATGTGGGTCCTGGAGATCAAAATCGGGTCCTCATGCTTGCATGGCAAGCACAATACCGAGAGCTAACTTCCCAGAGTCACTTGGTTATTAAATTGCAAAGCCCAAAATGACTAAAATGAAAACAAAAAGGAATAAGGAGAATTATGTGCTCATGTAGTCTACGATCCCCCTGTACTCCCTCAAATTTCCCAGTAACAGAGCTATCTAATTTTATTACAGCTATTCATTTGTCTGATTCTGAGCACAAAGAATTGCATACGATACATTGGTTTATTCTCCCAGAACCCATCTTAGAGCACAGCACATACAGACTCAATATGTGTTGAATGACTAAAAGAATGTTCTTTACCCCTCTGTAGCTCCTTTTTCTTTATAGGAGAGCATAGGTTTAAGAAGAACAAAGAGGCAACCTTGAAGAGTCACCCAGATATTGGGAGTAAGGAAAGCAATATTGTCCTCTGAGAGTATCTATAAAATAAAGCCAGCACCAGCACCTCAACATTCAAAGTCATCTTCAAAAAAATGATTCCCAGCTAGGCATGGTGGCACACACCTGTAATCCCAGCGGAAGCAGAAGCAGGAGGAACATGAGTTTGAGTTCAGCCTGAATTACATAGTGAGTTCCAAAGCAGCTTGAGCTACAGAGAGAGAGAGAGAGAGAGAGAGAGAGAGAGAGAGAACCAAACCCAGCTAAATATTAAAAGTGCCATGTTTAATGAGCCAGTCAAGTTACCTTGAAGTAGAGAGGAAGGTCTCAAGCTATCTGGCCAAGAAATGCATTTTAAATATTTTATTTATTTTTATTTTATGTGTATTCATGTATTGCTCACATGTAGGTAAGTGCATCTGTGTCGTGCAATGCCCACATTGGTCAGAAGAGGCTGTCAGATCCCCTGGGACTGGAGTTACAGACAGTTGTTAGCTGCCATGTGGGTGCTGGGACTCGAACCGAGGTCTTCTGCAAGAACAACCAGT